TTCCTAAACATTTTTCGAAATTTTTAGCCAAGTAAGCTAACTTCTCATCATTAGGAGAATCTGAATATGAGGACTCCCTATGACTATTCCTTATAGTGTTTAAGGCCAAAGACTTTTCGTATGTCGGTTTAACTAACGTCAGCTCATAAGTTTGGAGAGATCCAACCAGCTCTTCAATCTTAATTGAATCTAAGTTCTTGCTCTCCTCTATAGCCGTGATTTTAGGCCAAAACCTTTCAGGTAAGGATCTAAGAATTTTTCTTACAATTTTAGGCTCCAGTATTCTCTCACCTAGGTTGAAACTAGAATTCGCTATGTCATATAAACTCATATAAAACTCATCAAAAGTTTCATTTTCTTTTATCCTAATCTCTTCAAACCTAGTGGTCAACATCTGTAACTTAGAGTTCTTAGCCGCCTGAGTTCCTTCATTTGTGGTATGTAAAATATCCCAAACTTCTTTAGCAACCTCACACATAGATACTCTCCTAAATTCTTCAGGGGACACTGCCATAAATAGGGCATATAAGGCTTTGCTATTCCAATTACACTCATCTAAGTTTGCTCTAGTCCAATTAGCAATGGGAGTGGGGATAACTTCATTATTAACTGTAGAACTAAGGGCAGTCCAGTCATTAACCACACTTAACCAAATTCGCTCATCCATAAATTTCAGGAAAGTTCTCATTCTAACCTTCCAATACGCATAATTATTGTCATCAAAATAAGGCGGAACAGATAATGAATTACTCATCTAGAAATCTAAGGCCATGATTCGAATTTAGGCTCTAATACCAATTAAAAATTATGTAGTTTACTAACTAAGTTTGACCTTACGTGCGGAATTATACAATTAACAAACAACAAGTCACTTTTAATTGTTTATAGATGAATAAGCATACATGTCCAATTATCCTATGTTTGAATACTTGAGTAATAAAGAAAGCAATAAATAACGAACACAAAAAATGATGATAGAGAAACCCCAACTGGGTAAAAACTCCGAAACCAAGCCGTTACCTCCACTATAGATAAAATGGATTACAGCCTATTTCTAGCCAGCAAATTCACTAGTTTCCGCTGTTATAATTCTTGTAATCTCCAAGATTTGCTGTACACACCATCTTCTTGATCTTCTACAGTTAGATGTTGTCTAGCCAACTCTACTAGACTTCCCGATCTACTTCTTGTAGCTTCCAAGATCTGTTGTCTCCTTCTAGCTTCCTGGTCTTCTTCCATTGTCTCTTACAAGTGGAATTCCAAGAATCTCCAATTCTTGTGCTTTTCATGTTCTTGCAGTCCACCTCTCCCAATGCCCGCCCGAGAGAGTACCTTCCTCAAAGTGTTAAGGAAGTCAGGTGTTTTGGATTCACGAACCTTGATGTATTCCCAAAACTTGGTTGCCGGATCTCAAGAATGATA